GAAGGATATTAGTTGTAGAGTAATTTTTATAAATATACATCTTTTTAGTATCAAGACCTCCTGTTACATTTCACGAGTAAGTTTAAGTTTAAACAGATCAATCATTTCTGACTGGTTCAAACTTTATAATTATAGTGTCAAAGTTATTACATATTTTTCAAAAATTAATGAAAGATCAAAATGAAGTCATTACTTTCCTGAAACCCCTTTGGCAGCAATTAATGCATCTCGAGTAAGTCTTTAAAACCCATTTACACCTGGATTTGGGCCGTTTATCCAAATCTTCCTGGCAGATCCTCTCAAGCTTAGATGTGCTTGATGCTTTTCAGGATATCTCAGCAGATATTGGGGTTCAACCGTGGCCACGATTTGGTCCACTTAAAAGAACCTGATCTTTATTTTCTTTGTGAGCTGTATTTTAAGCTTCTAGTTGAGAATCTCTGGAGGAATAACTGATTTTTGTGAAAACTCTGCTTTTGGCAGGGTAGGATCATTACCAATTTTTAAACCCTTAAGTGTTTTCTTCCACCTTTCTCGAGACTGGGTCGTGGGGGCAGCAATTTCAGCAGCAAATCCCAAATATCCCTCTCCTTAGACACCTCCTCCAGCTCTGTAGGAGGTTAGTCTCAGGAACTCCCAGGCCATCCAAGAGGCAAAAGCCCCATTTACACTACCCTCTGAAAACCGTTCCGTACCAAGCTTGGATCAGTTAGCAGAGCCGAGCTCGATTCCTTACAACCATTTACACACCACGCTAATATTGGTTCCTTGCCTCCTTGTGACGTACTAGGGCTCTGTAGAGGTAAACAAGCAAATCAACATGGCAGTGCCTGTAAGATTCAGGAAGTTTGCAGAGAGTCAGATAAGAAAGCAGCCTTTGGTGAATTTACTTCACAGAGTCCGCTTTTAGGATGTGGATAAGGCAAACGATAGTCTAATCAGGGCTTAAAGACACAGGAAACAATGACAGTGTGATGAATCTGCTATGCAGGTTCATCACACTGCTATGCAGAATCATCACTGGAAATCGTGAGGCAAGGTAGGGAAGCTTGTATTTTTATGAATGTCTGAAATTTCATGATTAATGCAGCTGACTGTAAGGAGATGATGTGGTCTGCTCATGCGCTCTTTGTTATCTGAGAACCGAGCCAGAACTGAACTGCGCCAAGCCCTACTGATGAACTAGTGCCATGTTAGCGTGGTTCGGTTGTATCTGCTGCTGTCCGGTTCAGTTGTGCGTGCCATTTACACTCAAATGTTATCTTGGTTACTGATCTCGGCACGTTTTCAAAAGGGTAGAGTAAATGGGGATATAGTCCATTCATCATGTTCTGGGTTGCCCCATAGGCCTCCTCCAACTGAGGCGTGCCTGGAACACCTTCTGAGGGAGGCATCCAGGGGACATCGGAAAAAGATGTCCGAGCCAACTCAGCTGACTCCTCCTGATGCGTTGGAGAAGTCTCTACTACTCTCTGCTCTACTAAGCCTCCCCTGGGTGACTGAGCTTCTAACCCTATCTCTAAAGGCTGGTTGATACTCAGAAACCAGGCCATCTGCATGTGCGTTGCAGTGAACGCAAATGTTCCCCTGCCCCTTCCGCAGACGCTCTGGTGCACCTCTCCAAAATTGTACATCCACTCTACACTATGGGCCGGATTTATCAAGATCCAATTTTGCGTGCAGTAAGTTGCGCTCGCAAACTGGAATTTTGCGCAAGGGGCTGAACCATGGTTTGCGGGTGATTTAACAAGAGTGATTGCGTAACTGGTGGCAGGTGCAAAACTGATGGAGACGCCCTATTTAAATTATGGTTTTGCGCCTTTTGTGGTTTGCGGCAAAGTAGTTTGTAGTTTGTACAAACTAGTGCATTAAGAAATTTAAATCTTACAGTGACCCCCAACAAATATATATATATATATATATATATATATATATAAAAAGAAAAAACTTTGGCAACCTTTATTCCCTAAGGTGGTGGCTGAATTTCTACTTCACTGCAGTAAAAAAAAACAAAAAACTGGTGTTTTGTATTGGCCTGTAGAAAAATGGACATACCAAATGGCTCACAAGAAGTGACTGTGGATGAGATTACTGCGCGCACGCATCCCCGCAGCATTGGCATGTTGCTCCACAGGCGCAGGGGGGAGGTCTGGTTTCTCCGTCAGGGCGACATGGCATTTAGAACGTCAGACAGCACTTCTGAAAAACTAGATTGGGAGATCAAATGTTGCAAGGAGTTTTGTGATATCTGGTATTGCGTGGGTCCTCCTTGTGGCTGGCTCCAAATCCATTCGGAGTTCCCCCAACAGCTCCAAAATGGCAATGCTGGATAAACGATATGTTTTGATGATCGTTTCCTCGTTCATTCCAAAAATATTCACATGGAGTGAAAAAATGCGTTCTCTGCGTCTCCTTGCTTCATTTCGATGTCTCCTTCTTGCAACAATAACCGCTGCCATGTGTGCGCAATTACGCATACAGACCATTTGCACCTTCTTTTGAAACGTGTTAAATATAGAGTCAGATACCGTTAGCAAAATTGCTTTCAGTTTTAATAAATCACTTTGCGAGTGCTAAATTAATATATTTACATGTTCTCCTCCCACAAGACGCACTTTTGCGTGTAAACGCCCCATAATGCATATTCATTGCAGAAAAAGTACTAAATGGATAAGAGGCGCTATTTAGCACGTTTTAAAGACCAAATCCTTTTAGCACGCTGTTGATAGATCAGTTTGTACATTTTTTAGCGTGCGCAGTGAAATAGCTCACGTTTTTATACACGCAAACCATTGATTGATCCGGCCCTATGCGTATTTCCTGTTTGGTACCTTACCGGCTTGTTTTGTTTGTATGACCCCCATTGCGGAAAACCACACGTGAAGTTGGACCAGCTAGAAGAGCGAGGTGTACGAGAACGCTGGGACCCTTTTTTCACCTGGATCCACTCTCTTATTCACCATCATTTCTCTCCATTGTCGCAAAACCTTGCCCCCACTTGCGCACCGCCTCCGTCGCATCTAGACCCACAGCTATTTCGTGATTGTCCCTCTTGTGTTGTGGTGTGGAATAACAGCGCAGACCACGCTTCAATATTGGGCATAAATCAAAAATATTTGCAGCAAGCTCTCTGCAGCACACTGCTGCAGCAGTATAATCAGCTCTTAAGGGCGCACCAAGCCACAATGAAGAGAAAGATCATTGTTGCAGTCATGATCCAGATTTTATGTCCATAGGTAAGGGTAGGTATGTAGATCAACTGCTAAATCGAGAACATTGCCATTTTTCCCTGTGCTCTCTTCACCACAACAGACAGTGCAGTGCCCCCATTATAGCCAGCTGCACCAATCCTACTATTGATCTCCTGCTCCATTCTTCCCTCACTCGTCAACAGGACCCCAAGATACTTGAAGTGGGAACTTTCCTCCAATCTGAAGGGGATAAGCCACCATCAAGAACCATGACCTAAGACTTAGAAGAGCTGGTTCTAATCCCAGCCGCTTCCCACTTCCCACAACTGCCCCAATACTTGCTGTAGATCTCAGCAGGAGGGGGGCGGCAGAACCACATTAGCTCCAAAAAGCAGGGACAAGATCCGCTGGTTCCTCAAACCAGACCAGGCCATTGACTGTCCCTTAAAATCCTTTCCATAAAGTTTATGATCAGGACCAGTGACAGAGGGGAGCCCTGTTGGAGTCCAATATACACTAGGAACAGGTCTAACTTAATGCCGGCAATGCAAATCAAACTCCTAGTACCCTTGTGCAAAGAACGGGTGGCCCCCAGTAAAGGGCGTCTGACTCCATACTCCTGGAGTGCCCACAACAGGGCACTAAATGGGATGCGGTCAAATGCCTTCTCCAGGTCCACAATACACATGTAAACTCCAAAGCAACCCTCAAGCACCATGCAGATAGTGTTATAGTGGGTCCACTATTCCACAACCAGGATGAAAACCACAGTGCTCCTCATGAAGCTGAGGTTTGGATAATCAACCAGACATTCTTCTCAAGAAGGTTACTACAATGTCCATATGAGTTTTTGATTATTTATCTTATAGCTTATTGTTATAGTTATAGTTTATCAAGTGCAGAACACTTCAGGAAAGACGTTTATTTCTCAATAAGAGCTTTTATTTATTTTTTTATTCTTTTCTTTGAGAGTTGTGAAAGGGTAATCTTACCTCTTGTCTAAGATGTTAAGCTAAACATTGTATGGCACTCTCCTCTTTAAGGAGTTTGTACATCCCACTAGGGACACCTGTGTGAACACAGTCTGCACTATAGATTAAAGGGTAATGAACAATATTGTGAAGAGTGTAAAGAAAGACTAAATAAAAAGAATGCTATGTTTATTAGGATGAAATGATCCTGACTGAGGTAAAAAAGACCAGCTTACCTCCCGAGTGAAACAAGCTTTGAGTGGCTATATGCTATGAGAATCAAAAGAGCATGTTTATATGAGTAATGTTTTATCCGATCTGCCTTTTTATTCCAATTACTTATCTCCATGTAATGGTAAAACTCCAATATATCTTTATATGGTCGTCAAATTTTGTGCATAGCTATTTTTGTTAAAAACTGCTGACAAAAACACATCCTTATGGCATGCTGCAGATGTAGATGGCTTAGGGCCATAGACCGCTCATTAAAAATACCTTAAACAGGACACAATACATGATAAAAAATGAATAGTGTTTAGAAATTTGAATTATAAACCATATTGAGTCTTTCATCTTGTTCATACCAATTTACACCATGTCCATTAGAGATTTTACTAGGCCAATAAATACTTTAACTGTGGTTGTAATCCAATGGTTAGATATTAGTGCTTAAGCCTTTAACCTGTTTTATTGATGTTGTTAACTGTAGAGGAAAATATGATGTCCAGTAAAATATTGGGAAAGAACACAAAATCTGTAGCCTATTTTGAAATAAAAGAATAAAGCTCATTTAACATGAAATTAAAATCTAAACATTATGTTCTATAATCTCTCATAGGACGACCAGGCAGCTCTTGCCCAACATATAGAAGTGTATGTGTGCTGTCTCAGAGCCACAAGAGACAAGCTCCCAAAAGGTCTCTACTCTGTCAGCGTGGGACTTCAGAGTCATCTAGGGGGTGCTCCTCTGCCCTTGTACACTTTGAAAAAGCCAACTTTGGTAGCTTCTACTGAGCCAATGGAGCACCAGGGCCGCTTCTATGAAAATGACCTGCACATAAACCAGAGCATCTTCATGGTACATGAAATTTATCTATTTTAAAACTATTTAATAATGAAAGTGTATTGTGATATGTGGTAAAGGTTATTAGCATCTAAATGTACGTAATGCAATAAACTAAAGTAGATCTATTTTTCATTGGCAAAGACCCTCACTATTTAAAAATGAAAGCTGAGGATTTGTGACGTTCTCAGTTTCATTGTCAAATAAAAACATGTTTCATGCCATTGAAAGTTGGTGTGTTTTTCGATTAGAACTGTTGCAGTAATCCAGCGGTTAATCTTTGCCTTTCGACAAGAGCTTTCTTTTTATCGCTCTTCTTTAAAGGCCAGATTTGAGGGTGCATAACTACTAGTCCTGATATGTCTGGTCTGTTCCATGGTCTTCAAAATGCTATTGTTTACTATAGTTCTCTTAAAAACCTTTGAGGTCTTCATAAAACAACTAGATTTTTTTAGATAAGGGTATATTTTACTCACTTGTTGTATGGTGCCTGTGAGCAAATTGTTGCACTGAAACAGTATTTTATTTGAGTCAAAAAGGCTGAACACAAATGTACACCTCATCTTTTGAATTTGTAATTTTTGTCACATTCCCTTTACCTCTTCCACAAGAATGCAAATATGGTTGTTTGGTATTTATTGTGTTAGAAAATCTCAACATCATTCACTTTTTTATAGTAGAAGAATCAGACTTTTTTTATTTTGGGTCTTTTAAACAAGAATCGCAGCAGATTATATTACATCCGATATGAACAGATTGCAAGCACTTGCTCAGCCATCCTCAGTATCTAAGTAACACTAATCTTAAAAATCCAGGCTTATTCCAGATGGTTGATAATGACCAGTGGATAAGGATGGTTCTGCTCATTCATTGATTTTATGTGTACAGGACAAAAGATTCATATGCAAAACAGCCCTTAAAACCAATGCCTCTAAATTCAGTGTCCCTCCTGATCCCATATAGTAGTATTTATATACTTTAGGCTCTGTTTACTGATGGCATCTGTTGAAGGCCTATGTGGTGTATTCAACACATGCGGACACTTTCAATGTGTTTGTGGGTGTATTCACTGTGCTCAAGCGTCATGATAATATTGTCTCTAGCTTCCACCAAACATAAAGCATTGGGTAAAAGCTGGCATGAACTGAATGCAGACCTGAGATCTGATTCAGAGGTAAGAGAAGCAAACAAAAGATTTAAGTACAGCATAGTAAATGCCTTGTGTCACTCTCCTTCCACTCCTTTCCTTTCCAAACTGTGAGCTGTGCTTTATAGACACACCAGCTGTTGTTATTCCCATTGACAGCAGTGGAAATGCTGATCAGATTTGCATGAGACCACTAGCTTAACTGTTTTTTTTCTTCCTTTCCTCTGCTTGCCCACACTATAGCGTGTGATTTCAGAAGAACATACAGTTCTCTCTAAGAGGAAATGAGGAATTAGTGATGGTAGAGGGAGGCCAGGAGCTTATTTTTCCTCTCCCCCACTCTATCTTTCTTTCTCTCCCCCACTTTTTTTTTTAATTCACCACTTGTTTTGGCTGTCTGGGCCGGATTAAGCCAGAAACGGTGGAGGAAACTGGAGTGTCAAGCAATTGCAGGTGAGTGGGAATGTATTGGTAGAGTTGATAGTCTGTTTGAACTCAATAAAGCTACATTAGAAGGCTGTGTATCCGGTTTTAGTATTGGAATAAATTAGTAGCAAATAAACAGGAGATCTATTTTTTTTTTTCTTTTTTAGGGCATATCAAAGACATACTTTAGCAAGTGAATGATATACCTACTCGTTGGGGAATTGGTTATTCTGATTATTTTTTCCATATTATATAACAAACAGCATTATGAAGACCAAGGAACACAATGGATAGATTGGGGTTATAGTTAAAAAGAATTTTAGACTATTAAACTAGCAGCCATTCAAAATGGCCCTTCCCAGTCAAAAGCCAGCTGAATGGCATCCCACTTCCCTGTCACTCCCAGCAGAATCCCCTCCAACTTCCAGCCACTGGAGTGATCCCCCTACCTCTAAGGAGCGTGCATATTTTTTTTTCCCTCTCATTCCACCCTTTCACTGAATTACAGTGTCTGACCAGGAGATGACATTTCTCTTTAGATCTTAATGTCCACAAATCATGACAGAAAAAATATTTGACTACAAAGATTGATGTTTGAAAAGGAATTGTAGGGGACCAGCAAAGTACCAACCAAGGGCCCATCAAACAAAGTGGGGAAATTTTTATTTGGCTGCTACTATATATAAGTCGATATACAAAGCTTTAAACATCTTACAGGGGCACTGTTTAATCAATAATCTGGAAAATCAAATGAGTATGTTGCCCTGAATTACAGGTCATTTACCAAGGGCAGACGTGAGGAGTAATAATCAGAAGTATAGCCAAGAGTCCAAAGTAAATTACGAAGTCCACAGCTGAACCATGAGAAAATTTAAAAAGAAAATAAAGTGATCAAATTATGTGATCAACAAATGTGACTTTAGAACAGAGTGCCAAGAAGAAACCATTGTTGAACAAAAGCCTTGCTAAGTCTTATTTACAGATTGTTCATAAATTCGGAGGGAGACACAATTGTGGAAGAAGCTGCTCCCCTCAAATGTGGCCAAAATGTGTTTACATATAAAACACTTCAACCCTGACCATCCCACCACTAATGTATTTCACCAGAATAGGGAAACACATTAATGACATCATGCAACTGTAAGGTTGACCACAAAACAGGCTTATATTTGAAGTCAACCAGATCTTTGCCTTGTTTGTTTAAGATTTTTTAAAACTTATTCAAGAGATTTTGTAAATGTAAGTCTATGGAGTTGACGAAGACTCCTGGATAGGTGTCGAAATGTCTTCAAAGAACTGTACGAAAGTCAGGTTACCTTCCAATTTAAGCTCGTTTTGTGGTTGGCCTCAATTAATATGAATTTACACTGGCACACTGTCAGGTTGCTATCCTTGGCAAGGACGGGAAGTTTGGTCAGATTTTATGATAAAACAGGTAGAGATAGTATACAGGACATACTTAGAAAACAGATTTGCAAATGCTAAATATTTAAGTAGGTCAATAACACTAAGCATTTAGCCAAACATAATATTTGAATGCATTCACAGCATTTTAAATGTGTTTACTGGTCCAGTCACACTCTAGACTAAAATCCAATTAAGAATCTGGGGCAAAGTTTGGAAAGTGCTGTTAGATTTGCAGCAAGTCATGAAAATTGCACTATTTTGCAGATATGAAATGTTAAAACATATTGATATAAACATTACAAAAGCTGGAATCCTGAAGGCTCTTGGAAAGGTGATTTAAGCAAAACGTAGAATTGATCTCATGAAACACCTTAACACCCTTCACAGTAAATCCTAACAAACAAATCTGGCTGCGCCAAGCTCACAAAAACCTTAAGGAAGCACAGAATATCACACACATTTAAATAACTCTTCTTGTCTAAAAGCAGGTACTTCAAAAACATACACACCCACAGACAGACAGAGCACTTCTAGTGGAGGTCATATTCCCAACAGTAAATGAATTATATAAATATCCTCAATATCTATAATCCGTGATATTGTTCCATAAATTTATGTCTTGATTCCCACACACTACCCATCATTTCACCAGTGTGTCCCAGATTTGGTAGAGGATACACATGATTTATGTGTTAAAACAAGTCCCCTGCATTTTCCATTACAACTAATAAAGGGATAAAATATTTCCTTCTCAGTGATGGATGAAGTGGGGCACACCTCACTGTCAGTTCATTTTTTAAGCAAACCCCTACCGTTCTCTGGGTAAATAAGCATGCATGTATTTGCCGTTGACTGCTAACCACCAACACTTTTTGCTTCACGCAAGAAACTGGTAATATTATCAATTTGATTTATGATGGCCTTTCTGAATCTCTAATTCAGTGGCTGTCAGTTTATAGTATCACGGTAATCTGAAGCTCCCCTTCGCGTGCAGAAAATACGTGTGCAACATATGTGTTTTGGCAATTTGTAGAAATAGATGGGTAAAGATTCCATCTAAGGAGGTCCTTATAAAGTTAGTCCATGTAAATGTCTGTCATCCTTTCAGTATATATTTGCTGGCTCTTGAGGGTCTATGCATTTAGCACACCACAGAGCTGTATGTAAGCCCATCCCTTTGATTGCATTCACCCAGTGCCCAGCAAAGAGTTTCAAACCTGTTAAGACTCATTTAAAAAAATATATATAACCAGAAAAATCTATATAATTTTAAGGTATTTGAAATAAACAAGGGTTTTTGAAGGAAGTTTGTGGCATTGGATTTTATTTGGATGCCCAACAGTAATTTAGGGTTGAGGTGGGCAAACATTTTCATTTTAATTTGTGAAAAATTAAAAATTATGTTAATGTTTTCAATGATATTTTCTTTTCACATCAGAGTCATTATCTGTTTTGTGCAATTATCAGTTATTTATAAATGTGATATAATGCACTAAAAACTGTTGATGCAACCTGACAAAACTGAACTGACTGAAAGTTTTTCTGTTTCTGTAGAGCTTACCTTCTACCTCTGACATCACCCCCTCCATGGTTTTGGTATTCCAACTGAACAGCCTATCTGGGCATGGAGGCCATTTTAGTTCTGTGCTGGCCTGGGGAGTGTTTCCTGTATGTGGCCTGAGCCTAAGTCTGGTCCATGGCAGGTGAGTTTATAGATCATTTGATATTTTCACTTTATTTGACTTAATATGTTTGTATGGAATCAGTAAAATCACCTCTAAAGAGAGACTGTATCAGTTTACCTTAAAAACAGCACCAACACTTTTTTTTAAAAAGAAAGACGTCATCTTTTTTTTTTCTATCTGCTTGCTTCCATCTGCTTGAATCCTCAAAGCTTTTGGTTGCCAGTAATGATGTGTCATTCCCTCAGATTTAAAACTCCTCTGATCAGGGGGGAGCCCAGCCCACAACTGGACCAGTTTAAGAAAATTGAGACTATCATCTCCTCCGATCTAGACCACTGGCTGTGCAACCTGTATTTTCAGGTTAGTGTTAAGATCCCAGTTTTTTTTTTTTCTTTTTTCATTGCATTTATTTTACTGCACGTCAGGCATTCGGGGGCTACAGGAAAGCATATGCATGAGGCTTAACAATACGATCCCCGTTTCATTATTTAAGATGTGGAAAGTCCAGCAGTGTCGGACGTCTGGATGTTTTCTATGAGAAAAGGGAGTTAAGGAGAAATTGGAAATTGTCCCCAGAGAGAAAACAAAATCCACATCTTTACCCAATAATTCCGGATGCATTTGAGCTGATGCATTGATTAGATTAGTAAACATCTTAATCAAATTATAAAACAAAAAAAAACAAAAAAACAGAACAATGGTCTCCCTCTTCTGTATTTGCTTCTTTATCCCTTTGACTCTGACATGCTGTTTGTATTACTCTATCATTACTGTGGTCTACTGTTGCTTTAATTCCTGGAGGATATTTTTGCTTTTCTTTGCTAATGCAGGGAACAAAAAGAAAAAAAAAATGTCAGCTTAAAGACTTAATAGTTACGTGACACACAGTCAAAAACAATAACAATACAACATACAGTGATTATGAAGTACAGAAAAATACGGACTGATGATGTGATATTCAGGTTCATTAAAATGATATTGTTCTAACAGTCTGATCATGCTGTGATTTAATAATTCTTGTGTTTGTGTTAGGTAAAGAAACTTCCACCTGCAACATCTGAAGAGACAGAGCTAAATACTGCCCCATCTATACCCCCCTCTAACCCTAAAATCTTAAAACCTGAGGATCATCATGACCTAACCCTTTGCCAGCCCCTCCAGCCTAGATGCTTATCCCATTCTCAGCTTTGTCCTCGACCTCCTCTTCTCCAATCTCAGCAGCATTTACATGTTGGCCCCAGCAGCAGAGTAGGAGAGTCCACTATGGTACACTCTTACCAGTGTTCGCCTTTGCACCTATATGCTGATTCGGCTTGCTCTTCTTCATCTCTGCCAGGTAGGAGTCCAAGGCTAAAAGCCCCCAAGTATGTCACAGTGGGGAGAAAATGTCAGTCTAATGTTTTGAGCTGGGGGAAAAGAACAGCAGTTCTCACCAACATCAACTCTCTACTGAGGTAAAGTGCTTCAGGGCAAAGTTAAATAAAGCTTGGCAGCAGTGCTTGCATAAACAAAAGTTAATGTTTTCTTTATTTGATTTTATATATAAAAAAAAAAAAACTGTAGAGGTCTAATTAGTAGTTACTGAAAACCTACAGGAGATAACCCTAGTCAGGCAGGTAAAATTTAAAAATAAATAAGAACAAACAAAACGCAAAAGTAATGTACAGTGAAACAAAAATTACAGATTTAATTAAACACATAAAATGGTTTAACAATTTGCACATCTTATTTTGTTACACAAAAATTTTAAAATAAAAAAATAATTGGACAAAATCTATACAATTCCTTTAAATATTTTGGCACAAAACACAGAATGAAATTGTAAATGCATTTTTAAAAGATGGCTTTTGAGCATTCTTTGTGTATAATACAGCTAAAATGTGCTACATGTTGTTACAGAAGCACAGCTCTATAAAACGAATGTGGTCTTTATCGAATGATAAGCAGATTGCTGTGTCCTAAATGCACAAAGGTGCGTTATCTCAGGTCCTTCCTCCCAACAGGTGTTAGCCTTCCTATCCTCCCCCACTATTCCCAAATAACTTAATGAGTGTTTGTTTCCTATACTGTGTGTTTGCATCCCTACTGTTACTCGGTAGTTAAGTTTTTTTTTTTATCTACATTTATTTTTATTTATTTTTTATAGCTGTACGTTAATTTTTGGTATGTTGTGAATTTTCCCTTACATTATTTTAATCTTTTTTTTGTTTGTTTTTATATATTTTGCCATGGTGTATATCTACATGCCTTCATTTGCATTTCAGTTTTCTGCTGGGACACCTTAATTTCACCACTGTGGGACAATAAAGATATTTTCATTCGATACTGTTCAACTTTAGCATTTGTGCTCTGCCAGGCTAGGTTGATCTGAATATAGCTGAAAACATCACACACATTTTATATATATATATATATATATATATATATATATATATATATATATATATATATATATATAACAATAAAATCTAAAGTACAGGTATTTGCATTGCTCTACTCAGCAAGATGCCAAAAACTGCAAGTGATAGTAAGATTATACAAAAAAAAATTATTGGATTTAAATTGGATGAAATTAAACCTGAAAATGTTAATTCTTTTTGTATTTTCTTGATTTTATTGATATGTACTCTTTCTTTCTTTCTTTCTTTCTTTCTTTCTTTCTTTCTTTCTTTCTTTCTTTCTTTCTTTCTTTCTTTCTTTCTTTCTTTCTTTCTTTCTTTCTTTCTTTCTTTCTTTCTTTCTTTCTTTCTTTCTTTCTTTCTTTCTTTCTTTCTTTCTTTCTTTCTTTCGGTCCTCTTGCACATGCAGCTCATCTTTATTTAACAGTTCTCAAAAGTTTCTGGGGTGCTCTGCTTTAAACATCACACAGGCTTTTTAATTACAAATGAGTTGTGACAGGTCTGCTGGGTAGCACCCTGGCCCATTTTAAACGTGATGCCGGCTGACAGCTTGGCAGTGTTCTCCCAGCGCTGAAACATGTGGAAGAAATTGGTCTTTTACATTTCACAGCTTGTCGCTTCCTCCGCTAGCTGACCTGTGACCCCCCACAGAGATCCTAACGCCCACAAGGGAAGTGTCCCCAACGAACTGACTGCCTTTCCAAAGAGAGAGACGGAGAGCGAGACATTCACTTACTATGTAAAGAGTTATGTTCTACTACATAAGGCAAGATTCAGCAGATCTGTTCGCTTCAGAAGACTGTAAGTTCTTGCATGCACAGGCATGCATGAAGAGACACACTCTCCCAAACACACACAAAACTTTTTGCAGGTGAGAAGGTTGCTGGAGACGTGAACTTGATCCGGCGAGTGAAATAATGGATCAAAAGGTGTCCCACACTACACCTCATATGTGCCGCTCCCTAAACCAATCCGACATTTGGGCCTCATTTGCATACAGATCAGTTCAGGTTGCATTACCTCTGGAGTGAATTACGGTGCTCAGATGGGACGATATGTCAAGGCTAAGAAGGCCGATTGGATGGACAACTTTAACCTAGCAAAAAATGGAAATCCAATTCTGTCAGGAAAAAGAAAAACGAATTATCCCCCAGCTCTCTCAGTTTCAGTCAAATCAGAGGGGTTTCAGATGTTTCCTTTCTAGTTCATGCTTACCTGTTTCTGATGCTGATTTGTGCTGTGGTTGGATCACCTTTTCTGTGCATGCAATGCCTCAATTTTTCTTAATACCCATTGCTTACAGAGTAGTGACAAGAACATAGAGACCTCTTGTCGTTTACAATATACAAAAGACTTGACAGTGAAACATTAGGGTTTGCAATCCTCAGGCTTTAAGTTAATTAATCTCTCTATTAAAAAGAGAACCGCTATACTTGTCATGTGTCAACAAAACCAAACTTGACATGCCCATCTGAAGTAATACCTCTGACAAGTGGTGATTGGAGTATCAAAGGATTGCAGCAGACGCTGTTGTATCAGAATTCATCATTCGATAATTTAGTCAAATTTGGAGTTCCATGACAATATTCTGATTTACCTTAGAGGACTTCCTTAAGGTTAATTAAGTGTAGTTAGTATTTTAGTGACTAGCTAGAGGCACACTGGGTGAAGTGACCTTTCACATTAACAGACTGATCTAGTTGCAACAGATTGTTTGAACCCAAATGACAAATTAGGTCAGTGTCTCATTTCATAATGCATGCAGAGAGCAAAGTATTGTTAGCTGTTTCATTTTTCTTTGTTGCTTTTTACAATTGAAATTTCTTTAAATCCAAACCTAAACCTAGTAATCTCTCTCCAGTACTCCCAGTTCTCATTTTTTTCAACCCACACTGTTGTGCTAAAACTCGTATCAATCAATTGTTTTATATGAACTGTGCAAATATGGTTTGGCATTGTACAAATTAAATAAAAAAAGGTTTGAAAGACTATTTCTGAGTACCAAAGGCAGACAAAGAGGATGTGATATTAGAAAAACACAATTGAGAGGTAAAAAAAAAGTAGAAACAAAATAAGGGGTTAGGAATGAAGAAAGTCTTTGAAAATTTCTCATGGGGCAAGTAATGACCATTTGAACTCCAAAGTAGCATTAGAAACCCCATGAGATGGACTTTCTTGTTCATACTTTGTTTCTTCTCAATTGGCTCAATACTGGAGCAACACTGCCCCCGAAACAATCAATTGCAACTACAAGACATTGTTTGGTCAGGACGGTGAATTTCTGTCGGACCTAAAATTTCTGTTCCGACTCAAGGTGGGAATTTTCTCTCTTTCATTATACGCCTGGACTGAGATTTGGACCAGATATCAGACCACCAGTGGGAATTCATCATATTTTCTGCATTTGTTTTTTTTATATATATATTTTTTCATTTTATAACCACAAGCTCAGTGTATATTATATGGGTTTAATGAAATATACAATTACAAATTAACTCAAATCTACGTCATTCTGTCAATTGGAAAGAATATGATACATATATTTTTTTCCATTCTTTTGTTTTACAAATAACCATATAAACAGTGTGCTATTCATTTCTTTTCACCCTTATTTTGGATGACATTAACATAAAAAGCTAGTGCAGTTACTGGTCACAATCTTATTAGTAAAATTAAATCTATTGATTAAATTAATTGGTCATTAAGTTGTCCCTGGTAGTTTTATATATACTGTAAAGAGTGCAAATACAGCAGGAAACACCACGTAGGTCAGTGGACATGTTTTAAGCACACTTATGTTATGAAACAATGGATGATTGACAATAAAATCCATCAAAGAAAGAAATCCGCAACTATTTTAGTTCAAAGCTTGTAAATGCTAATAAACATGTGAGAAAAGGTCACTTGACAAGGTAAGGCAAAAACGTAACACTATCCACATAAAATGTTGAATAGGAAATTGCATCCAGTCTGACCAAGTTTATGCTTTTTTTTATTGTCTAGGTGATGTGGGCAAAATATTTTGCCCTAGAGATGTGCAAAGTTGATCAAATCATACCTTATTAAACTTAAATCTTTAACTGCAGGAATATTTTACAAAATGTTGACTTAGTGGAGCCAAATATAGTCACACACAATTTTAAAGTTTTACTTGCAAAAAGAAGAATTTTAGTTGTATCATTATTGAAATGTACTATCTAAACTACTGTGTGTTTGCCAAAAGGAAACATGTCTACATAAGATAAGGGAATCTAAAGATAATTGTTTTTATTTTAAAGTATTTCAAAATGAAACAAATATATTCCTCTGCTTCACAATTACTTACTATTTTGTGTGTGTCCACCAGTTTGTGGTTGATACACGTAAAATTGTTAAAATGGAATAAATACTTTTTCAAGGCAGTGGATAAACACCAGTATTTATTTTGTGTTTGTTACTTTAATTAAAATGAGGTAGATTAAAGTAAAAGCACTGTTGCTTAAAGCAACACTAAGCCCTTTTAGCTTGAGATTCTTCTCTGGACTCAGGGGTAATTTGCAAGTTGATAACCTTTGATTCTTTAGCAAATCTTGGCCAGTCATCATGCAATTGTGGGCCTAGATGAGCAACAACTTGCATCTCATCTCTGGTTCAATCTCACAGTTAACACAGTAATAGGGCCTCCACAGTGGTGCAGCCTTCAGGCTTTATCTTTACTCAACCTGACTTTGTTTGTAAGTCCTACACTCTTATGTTTTCTACCCTCGAAAATGTTTGTGCATATATGCAAGTGTCTACATTGATGTCTCTGCCTTTTGGTGTGTGGGTGCGTCGTAGTTTGTGTGTGTTATGGATGAGCATGTGTACAGGTCTTAACATAGCTCAGAGCACTGGGGGAGAACAAGGAGTTTTTTTTTGGCCTTGGGTGCCCAGAGAGGCTGGAGTTGTGGCAGCTCAAGCGCTCCAAGTTCATGGACATAGCCCTTAGCTGTCAGAGTAGTCGATGCTGCCTCCGCACCGGTTTCGGTTCCACAGCATCTGACCATTAGCAAGCGAGGCCCCGGTGTAATGAGTGTATATGTTCAGTTGCATGGCTTTAGACAGCATTCAAATCCACGGGGGTCCAAGTCTATGAGTATACATGATTGTTGATGCTGCTCATGGTGGCTAAGTTTTGTGTGTGTGTAAGAGTGTGTGTGTTTGTATGGGTTTATGCAAAGGAAAGGTGGCGTTGGGTTGCATCACTCTTTCTCAGGTTGGCTACACTCACACTGAGACATTGCTGAATCTGATGAAGCATGAACTCTAAAATAAGCAAACAAAATTCACCACATTTTACTTAACACAAAATCTTCTGGTCTTCTAGCATAAGGATTCATAACACAACGTATCTTATTAAATTAACAGTTTTTTTCTAAATGTGTTTCCCTTTTATAGTTTATTTCACCACATTGCTGGATCTTTAAAGATGTGTTAATAAATATTACATAACATAAAGGCATGCCAACTGAGACTACGGCAATGATATGGAAAATGTTAACATAAAGTTTAGATATTCAAATTTAGATAAGCAATGCAAAAAAAAAAAAGAAATGGTAACCTTGCAAATTAAATAACAAAATTATATATATATTTCTCTGATATGTGATTTAAGATTCCCTTTGAAGTAACATTTAGGCTTTATTACCATTTGCATGTACAACGTTTTAGCTGTCAGAAAGATATATTTTATGTTGAAGTTATTATTACTGATATTTTTAATCCTGTGGCAAGAGAAGAAATTATATCTTGCCCAAGTTTTTCATATGCATTATATAGATGTGATTGGTTCCATGATGGGGGCAAAAGTTTCACAGAGTGAGATTTTTACACATATCAAGCTAAGGTTTACTTAATTACAACCTCCAGGCAAAACAGGAACCCCTTTTGAAATTCTGTGAATGTTAATATGCTAAATAATGCAGATCCTCGACTCTTCAAGCATGAGACACACATCTGGTGGCTTACCATTTAAATTACAGCTAGAAAAGGGGAGACAGATATAGAGAAAGGGGAAAAAATGGTCGATGAAATATACTGCAGATGTAATTTTGCAAAAAAACGGGGAAGGATAAAGGTTTGACAACACTGTTAATTTTTTTTAAGATCTTTCATTACTTCTTTCTGCATTTTTTTAGCTTGTACTTTGAAACTTTTCTTTCATTTGAAATTTCTTGCAGTAAAAGAAAATACAAGACAGATGTTTGTTTAGAAAAGCTGAGATTGTTTGTACATTTTTCTTTATTAAATATTTTAGTTTTACACACTTTTTTAACTGAGACATTTTAATTACAAGTATTTCATTTAAAAATAATATTTTTATTCTGATATTATTTTTGTTCCCCTTGTATGTCTGTCAGCAGTTAACAAGATCTCTATGAATAATTTAGCATAAACTGTGTTATTTCAGCTCTTTCATCTTAGTTTAATCTTTGTAAAAATAACATAAAGTTCTTTTCTTTTTGGGATGCAGGGAAGAATGATTCTGCAGAAGTAATTTCAGGAAGTGCAATGGAGAAGACTTATCCAAGTCGGGAGAAAGTAGAAGGTGGCTTCCAGTACAAGGTAACCCTATGAGAATTTCGACCCTTTAAAATAAGCTGCTTCCCCCTTTATTTATTATCCATATTCCTTCCTCCTCTTGTTCCACTCTCCACTCTTACTTGCACCTCCCCAGCTTATTAACTGAGATTTGTCAAAATACATTTCACACTAACAGGTATTTTTCAGCCTTCAAAGCCAGTTTTGATCTGCTTGACAAGCCAGAGCAGCCCAAATTCTGTGAAATCAGCAATGGCAGCCAGTCCTCCTTCTTTTCTTTTTTCCTTTTCTCCAAAACCTTTCTTAACCCGCCTCTTCCTGTTCAACAGAAGACTTAAGCTAAATTAATCAAAGTCTGCATGTTACCTGGCCTACTTTGAAGTGATAATTGCAAAATTACCTCGTGTGCTGATCCGGCGTTGCAGCCTCTCAGTCCGCCCCTACCATTGTGCCTCGGCACCAGGCCTTTTGTTGTTGCCATGTTATTTTCGGGGCAGTTAGAAGTCTGTGACCAACCTCAAGCCTGCCTTTCTCTCTTTCTCTCTCTGGATCCTCATGCAGGTTTTCCTGTCCTTGCTCCCTCCTCCGTCGCCTACAAGTCTTTATTGTTTCTAACCTATTTTGGCCGATCTACCAGAGGCCCCTAAGAAGACCATTAATCAGCAGTGTCCAGATAAATAAATGAGTTTGTTTATATGAGGTTTTTATTTCTTTGCGACCTCTGTCCACCATTGTTTTTCTACCATATTGTGGCCCATCTTTAAAACCTTGCTAAGTCTGTCAGACGATGTGGTGGGGAACCCAGTTGTGTAATGATTAAGTGGAATGATCTCCAACCTGCCCAAGCCTGGGAGCACTAGGGATCAGATTTCAGCCCTTCAACCTGCAGTGCAGGCCTAATTAAAATGAATTTTCTCCAGGCAAACCCTTTGCCCATGGGGCAGGAATCCAGCTCTATACTGAATCTACTCTTAAGGTATTGCATTAAATTTATTGTGGGGAGACACTGGAGAACATTGTGGTTTATATATCTCCTGCCTTTTTTTTGTCTCTTCTCTCTACTGTATATTGTGATCATCACTCTGGAATTCAAGCTTGCCTTGGCAAAGATTGCCCTATGAAAACGGATCGAGCTTTTATGGGATTCTGCCCATTTACTACTTCCTGGGCCTAGTGTACAGAATGAGGGAAAGAAAAAAGGAGGGCAGAAAAAATATGAAATAGGGAAAGGTGGAATGAGGGAGGGGTGTTAGCAAATAAAAGAGGTTGCTTCTTCCAACTGTGGATCTCATTAACATACATCGGTGTGTATGTCACAACTTCAAGCAGAAAGGCACTAAGCCCACCCAAGGGCAACACAGTCAAGGCTGACAGGACCAGGGAAAGCAAGCCGCTAACATGTTGGCGGCTTAACAAATAATATCTGCTCCCAAGTACCTTGGTGAAAAATTTTAAGTCCCACTTCCAGACTTCGTTTTACTGTGTTTATGATGATGACAGTAAACGACTTGTGTGCAGGAAAAAAAAAAAAAAACAGTGCCAGCTGCTCCAACATCACATATTTAACGCTAGCGTCACTGTGCACACACTTCCCGAATGAACCCGAATTGAAGGATGGCGTGCCATATGCGATTTCGCCGTCACTTTTGTCTCGCATCAGTTGAAGTGCGGGAAGAGATATAGAAGAAGCCCCCCGAAATGCCACACACACACTGTCACAGTCGCCGTGTGCATCCTCCAAGATAAATTCAAAGGCCTGTTTCCTGCTTTGATTACAAATGACATCCGTATGTGTTCTCCCTGATTTCTGCTCCTCACAGAAGAAGCCAATCAAGAAGACAAATAGCTGCGGCCCCAGCATGAGCGGCAGAAGTGCGCCGCCTCAGCAGACAGGCAAACCGAAAATGCAGCCTACAGTGGAGAACCTCTCCATGGAGGAGATGGAGGGATATAGTTTCTTTTTACAGTGAGTATCATGTGTTATCCATCCTCATGCTTGCAAAATTTAGATAACATCAATCAGACTTGAGAGAAAGAGAACCCCCCTTAACGTGAATTAGATCACTACTTACAAAAAAAGGTTTTAACAAAACCAGAGGTTTCAACAGTTTTCCACCTTCCAAGACTACTTTAAAAGTACGATAACTGATCAGAGGGTGTAAAAAATTATATTACATCATATTAACCCTTGATGGCCTGTTTCTGTTGGGTGTTAATGCAATGCGGCACATTTTAGCCGGGCAACTCTATATTACAGGAACGACATGAGAACTTTTTATTTTAGTAAGGTTGAAATAAAAGAGTGAAAACTAAGAACATGAAATGAGCAAGAAGCTGAGGTAGACTAAAAAAATATGTATTATCTCATTATTAGGAAAACTGTATCACAGAGGTTCACTGATCGTTATTCGATGATAATTGTATAAGCTACCAAAAATTAGAATCAGAAGTGATGCAAGAGAAAGGCTTTCTCCTCCAGTCACAGGTGTAAGTATCTTCACATTGTTGATATTTTTGTAATTGAAAAAAATGAACCTGAATTGACCAGTTGGCAGCAGAATGATTGTTATCAACTTTGTTGAAATTCAAACCTGTCCGGGTGATGTATTATACCTGTTTTGACAATCTAAAATATCCAGTGCATCTCTTTAAGGATTTTTGTATGACTCCGAGAAATGCTTTTCACCAATAGTAGGGATTTTAGAATTAGCCTAATCGTCATATTAAATCAGAACTAGATAATCCAAAATAGAAATACAACCATCCTAAATGAAAATATATGACATAGGTGTAAATTAGATATAGATTACAATTAGATAAAGAATACCTGAGATGTATGCATTGTTATGACCATTTATTAGTGTAATTCATAAATGCTAGTAACTTGGTATTGTTTGTTTATTGCTACATAATGGGAACGGGAAGGGAGGAAATGGTAAATTAGGCAGAGAGGGAAAAAATGATTTGGTGTTATTTGGTAAAAACAAATGTGACTTTAACTGGAACTGCATACTTTGGTCAGAAAGAAGAAGCAAACACCAAATGCTTCAGGTACATTCAAATCAGACCCATTATATAAATATGTGCAGAGTTATTCCATAGCTAAGTTTGAGGGATTATCCAGGATTCTCTGGTTTAGAGTTTGTTTAAAAGAAAATTGAACATTTTTTAGACTGCATGTATCATTAATCTGAACTTACTTTGTGTAGTGATGATATTTAGGAGCTTCACCATTTGACAACTACAGCATCGTCTTTGGAAATTATTTCAGGCTTTTGACACCTCTTAACTAGTGATCCAATAGATGAGCAGACACTGCGAATCTGCAGTTTTTAGGCAATTCTGGATTAACAAAAGTGGAAGGAAAGCAAATCATGGTCCATATCTAGTTTGAAGGTTTGTGGGAATTTTGATCAATCATTTATATATCTTATTTTTTGTGGATTAGAATTTGTTTAAAGAGAAAGTGTCAATGTTTACTTTTTGTTTATTTTAGTATAGGGCCAAACAAAGAAAACACCCTGTTAAAACTCCATTAAAATATTTTTTTATGTTATTTTTTTTTTTTACCATTTTCAAATCCTCATGAAATATAAAGTACAAGAAAGTAGGTTTGAAAATAAAGTGGTTTGTCCTCAGTTTGGCTTTTAGCATTTAGTCTTAATTTAGAAAACCCAATTTATAAAAAAAAATAAATAGACCTTAGAATTTCAAGTAACTTTGGTCGTATTCATTTGAAGAAACAAGGTGGGACATCAAAACAGCCTAAAAGTGAAATAACCTATTTCAACTCAAAAGTCACAGGTATTTGTTTTCTATTTGAACTGCTACTAAATTAAGGGGAGGAGAGGGGAGACTCTGTATGTGCAAGTGGAACGTAAAACAAATTCTCCCTGGAGATTTGAAAGTACCCTTGTTTCCTCATTTCTGGGAGTTTGTAATTTATAGCTGCTGGTCACATATTAAACAAGATCAGAGAATACTCCCTGACATCTTTTGAACACACTTAGGGAATTCAAATGATTACCAGCGTATCCTGCCAACAAATGACGACACAGGGACTGTCTTGGGGGGCGGCGGAGAGTGAATACAAAACGAGCACTGAAGCCGGGCAGCCTGCACACAAAGGGACACAATTAAATGGTTTTCGAGATTATTCATAGTGCTTCTTTTTACCTCTGAGCAGTCGTCTGCTGGGTGAGATGAGACATTTCTGTCAGTTACACACACACACACACACACACAGACGAGTTGTATTGAGTAAGAACTTCAGCATTTCCCTTGATGCCCTGTGAAGGTGCTACAGCTATTGATTTCATCTTTGCACGCACTTACTTTACAGTATCTCTGAGCTAAAGGCTCCTTATTGCTCTTCACCCAATCAGACTATTAGGAAAGTATAGTGTAAGTGTTAAATTTGACAACCAAGCCAAAGGTAGTTCGAAACTAGAACCTTCAACTGAATTTTCTTGTGTTGCGTGAAATGCTCTGGGCTTCTACGGTATGCTACTGTAAGTCTCACAGATATCGGTATAAAGGGATTTTTTTTTATATGTATTTATTTGCAATCATCTCATCACCATTTGATCTGGTTGTATCAATGTAGCTATACCTTTTTTCTAAATGCATACAAGAGTGTTTGCTTTTGTTTATATGCTGAGTGTATATCCACTGCAAAGGATGTGCACATACACGTCTGCAGATTCATGTGGTTTAAGTGCAAAGAGGATTCATATCTCAGTGATTGAGGGATATTACTGCCATCTATTGAGCCACACGAGGCTTAGCGTATTGGGATTTTTATAGGGCATCCTGACACAAATGTGCAAATCAAGGGCTAATGCATAATTAAGCACACACATGGAAATACAAAGATTCACATCGTTTAGCTTACAAATGATAAAAATGCTGTATGGTACTACATTGCTTGAAAAGTCGGAGTGAAGACTTTATTCTGCTTTTAAAATTAATTTTTAAGGTTTACAGGAGGAGAGATAAATATGTACAGTAGAAACCCATGAATTATGCATGTAAGGGGATCATTTTATTAAAGCAAGCCAGAGAAATACTTCTAGTTTTGATAAGGAAGCAATAAAGGCTGATGAAACTAACACAATTCAATGGGACTTTCAAGTCTTTAAATCCTTCTAACTCTATTTCAGAGTTTGTCATGTAATACTGCTAAACCTCAACATACTGTGTTGTCGTTTTTTGTGAAAATGGAACATAGAGTATCATAAATGGAAGGGAAATTTTGGTTCTCAACATTGTTTTGCAAATCAAGATCTGAAAAGTGAGGCAGACATTTGTTTTTAGCCACTTTTGCTGTTTTCCGTGAAAACATTCTGTGAACCCATTACCTTTTAAACACACCTGATTAGTCACACAAGAGGTTCATGGTAACCGAAGCTGCAGACAATCCCTGTTTAGGTGGGATGATCTGTTGACTTACAGAAATTGGCTTTCTGCAGAGTTGTTTCAATTTTGAAAGGTAATAGGTTATGTCTGTAAGCCTTTTAGGGCACACTGAAAACACATTAGAAACTAAAATTAAACGTATTGGTTTATTTACAAATGCTGTGTGGTGGAGACCAGGATCCAGACCCACCTGATTTACAACATTTATAAATTACCGCAAATTGTCTGATGACAGTGACTAAACATCAATTGCGTCGCTTCCCCTGTTACCCCGAAATCCCATATCCTCCATCTCCGCTCCGCCCTGCAGCGCTTCAGACCGCCTGCACAGAGCAAAGCCTACAGCCTTCGCTGTTTCTCCCGTCTTGCTGCACTCCGAGTTCCTTGGAGCTCGGGGAGAGCATGCGTGATATTATCATTAAATTCGTAGGAGCAAAAACATGCGGAAATGAACGCTTAATTTAATATGACATATAAAAAATAAATCCCCATCAGAATCCAGCATAGGTGCGGTTTCTGATGGAAATGAGAAATCTGAAATAGTTTGCATTCAATCTTTTAAATAAACTGTGTTTTTTGAAATATATAAGAATTATGATCTAATTTATTGTTACCGATCTGTCTTGCTAAGTTTTATTTTGACAAACCGGATCTTCTCACCGTTTTTGTTTCCAGTTTGGCGCGATTGCAATAGCGGATCTTGACCTGGCTGGACCGATGTAGGTACCAGATCTGCTCGGGTGGTCAGGTCTGCTCGGGTCCTGCGCATGCCATTGACGTTGCGCTACATGATTGGCTGAACGTTGCCACATGATGTAAAACATTATGGTTGCCCAGACAACAATAATAACATTGCACAGCGTCATTGTGTCAAGTCGGGAGCATCTTTAGTGTAATCGTGTCAAAATGACCAATAAAGTTTTACCTGATCGATAAAAAAAAACAAAAGAAAAACTGTTTATGGTGAAAAAAGTAAATGCAAGACCATGATATAAAGGGGAAGAGCTGGGTAGCACTGTAGCTAGCTGTGCTCAGTAGTTAACAGGTTAGCCCCGTTCGTTTTCTACAAGTAAAAAAACTGTTTCATTTGTCTAAAATCTCTACGAAAGTCATTTTTGAGATGTTGCATTTGTCCTTCCTGTCCTCAGATCTCAATAAAAAGAATAAATATAACCTGAGAGTTTTTCTTGTCATCTTGTTAAATGGCAGAGCTCAATCTTAGAATGCAGTACTTTCTTCAAAGACCTAGAATGATTGTTTCGGTTACTTTAGATTGTCAATGAAATGTAAAATAATAGTAAATATAGTTAACAATATGTTGAGACTCCAAAAGAGATTTGATTCTTAAGAAACTGTTACAATACAGTTTGTCCGAGTGGAGTTGTCATATGTTTGCATCATAAGAAGGGGCAGGGCCCCAAGCAGATCTGACCACGTGAGCAGATCTGGTACAGTACCTACACCGCAGCGGAGCCAGCACATTTTGAGTATGTTTGGCTCAACCTACGGCTGTGAAGTAGGATTCTCCACCATGAACATAATGTAAAC